GATCATAAAAATAAAATAAAATATTTAATCTCTACACATTATATGTTCACATAAATTAATAATATATCAATTAATCGATAATTTGTTCAAAAATTTATGCGGCCTAAAAATTAAATAGCACGTAATGTATGATTAATATTCATATGAGGCTCATATTCCAATTTTTTCCTCACTTGGGCCACATACATCACTTGATAATTATAACACATTAAATAATTTTATGATCTCAATATTCATCATCTTAATGAACTTATATCTATAGACAATCTGGTCTATAAAGATATAAATCTACATTCCTACACCTATCTACTACCTGTGGACGTGCTTGAAAGTTCCAAGAGTTTGAAAAGCGAAAAGGTGCCTTTCCAAGTGATAAAAAGTGACTTTTAACTTCAAAAATCGAGCAAAAAACCATCTGAAATCGTTTTTGGTGCCAGATTTGGGCGCCGGACGCCGGTTCGGGCGCCTAGGCGCCAAATATATATATTTTTTGCGTTTTGTTATGTTTTTTCTCCAACAAAATGTATAAGATTAGAATTTTATTCGATGTTTGATTTGACTTCAAATTGCACAATTTTTGTTCCATTTTCTGCAAAACCCGTTCTTGCAATAAAAGACATGCAAAATACCTTTCATTAAAACGCATATCATAAAAAATAAGTATAAAATGTATATAAAAAGTAGGTAATTTTTAGGCGTGTTACTCCGCACCTCTCCCTGCTCAGTTAGGGTTGCAAGTGAGTCAAGTCGACTCGGCTTGAGCCTGACTTGATAAGTGGCTCATGAACCGAGCTCGATGAACTAACAAACCAAGCTCAAGCCAACCCCGACTCGACTCATTAGCTCGTGAGTTGGTTCGTTTATATAAATATTAACCTTAAATATACTCAAAATATATTAAATTTCAAAACATTATCTTTAAAGTATCAAAAATGTTAAGAAAATATTATTTTGTTATTGCGTATTAGGTGATTTTTAATTAATTATTTCCTAATTGGTCATTCTTTTTGTCAACTTATTATAAAATTATTTTAAATTAATTTCATTTTCTCTCTTTTATATTAAACAAGCCAGCTCAAGAGTTGGCTCGAACTCGTAGACTTAAGACTTAGGCTCAATAAAATTAATCAAGCTCAAGTTGATGGCAGCTCGAGCTCAGGTTTCTAGGCGAGAGAGGGTGTAGTAGGTGAGGGACTCGGGCTGAGAGTAGGGGTGTAAACAAGTCGAGTTTTGCCCGAAACCATCGCCTTTTTGACTGAAACCCTCTGCATACAATAGCGACAAGAGCTAATCAGAGAGACAACAACAGGATCGCGACTTGCGAAGACCCAAAACTCCCATCTTCCTTCTCCTTTTGCATTGCTCCAACTCGAAACCATGGAGGCAGTTGGAGAAAGGCAGCCCTCAACTTAAGAAATGATGTTAAGATAAAATAAAGGTGGGAGAATAAGTGTCATGAATATAAATATCAAATTTTATATGTTAGATGCGTAAATGCTTAGGAATTATAATTGTGTGGTATACTTTCTAAATATTTTAGTCTCTCTTTTTTTAATCTTCTCTTTGCCCACCAAAAATCTTAGCTCAATTAATAATTTATTTGATTTTACCATTAAAATCTTAAATATGAGGCCAACAAATGTTGAGTGAATAATTCTTCTTTCTAGATAAATTCAGTTTGGCATCTCAATGTGACTTCATAAAAATTAACTAACCTTATCTTCAGATCATCTCACGTTACCTTTAAGAAGACTAATTCTAGAGAGAAAAAAAACCTCATCGGAAGTGAAGCTGTGTTCCGATGGGGCATTGTATCCTAAGAGCGAGGCAATGAGATGAGACTAGCCTCCGCTCGATCCAGCCGCGCCTCCTTCGAGCACCACAGCCCGAATGCGTTCAATGTGTTGTTCATGTTCCTCTTTGAGCTAGCTCACTTGCACCATCGTTCCCTTGCACCGTCGGGATGCTGAGCGCCGACACCGTCCTCCTAAATAGCTCAGGTACTCGTTAATTTCTCTATGACTGTGTTCTTATCCTTTTTTCTAAAGCAACTAATGCTCATGCATTGGTCTTGAAGCTGCTCCTTCCTTGTTATTGAGCCAAAAGCTCGACTGTTCTATAACTTTTGTATTGATTTTCCCTAATCCGCTAGCTAAAGTTGGGCTTTTGTTGATTCATTGACACCCTAGACATACATTGTGACGCTTATCAGGGTTACTGTTTTTAGCCTTTTTGACCGTTGAAGTTTTCAGCTGATGGCGGTATTTTAGCAATGGACTTGTTTGTTGGTGAAGATATGGACCTTTGGTTAGATCCTCATATCATTTTAATTGCTGCAATTCCTACTAGGTTCACATAAAAGTTGCTCTTCCATTATAGTAATTTTTTATGGTTAAAATGAGGAGGTTTATTGTGAGATATTTATGACCATTCCACTGATACGGTGTCCTATTGATGATATCGGCATAAACCATGACAATTGGCTCAAAGACAATGGAGCTGCGTTGGATTTGCTTTTGAAGGGATATTAGTTACAATTATTATGGGGAGATTACCATTGTATCTAGCTCCACCTCCCTGCTAGTAACTCATTTTTGTAAGCTGGTCTTGAATTATCTACGATCTGTTACTTCGTCCTTCTAGTTTTAATGATTAACATAGGATTACCAAATCTCAAGTCAAAATATCCAGAAAATTTAGATTAGAGTGTTCCTGAATTTATTGAACCACAAAACTTAGGGTTTTTAATTTCCCATGTCTAAAATAGTATTCAACAAAGAGTGCCTTTTTCCTTACTCAGGAATTGGTTGTGAGCAAAATAATGAACTATTATTTAGATTAGGGACCAAGAGACACACACACTCTCTCTCTCACTCTCTCTATTTATATATATATATATATAAAGCAAAAAGGTAAAAACTATTGGTAAACTGAGGGGGTTACAATTCTAAGATAGGGAGCTTGAAGAAGGTCCCCATTCAACAAAAAAAGTAAGAGGGGTAGGAGGGGAAGAAGAAACAAGAGCCCCATTAGAATTGCTACCCAGTCTAGCAAGCCAGTTAGCAGGCCTATTGCCTTCTCTAAAAATAAAAGAAAATTGATTGTGGCAGGAATTCCTCAAAGAAAGGATGAGCTTGAGCCATTGGAGGATATGCCGGGGGGG